GCGTTTGACTCGTCTTTGTGGCAGCCCCAGAGCTCCGGACACGCCGGTTCGGTTGCCGTCGGCCACCTCCGACCAGTGGTGGACTGGACTGCCGCGTCCGCTGAACGGCGTTTCTCTCTAAAAACCACCTTTAAAATACGAGCCAGCGAGCGAAACAAACTTTCCTGGCGCTGTGGGTGGCAGGGACCTACCCGTCCTTGTAAGGGCAGCGTAGCAGTAGTCTTGCATGACAATGGTAGGATGGAAGGGGCTAGTCTTAATGAAGAGCCTTGGCCTGTGCAGGTACCGCTGCCTCACAGCTGCTGTAAGGTAGTAAATACTTGGCCTCTAAAAGGGTAGCTTCAGCTTTTATAAGTCTTTTTTTATATATATGTACCTTTTTTACTCTCTCAACTTGAGCGGGAATTGCTTACTTGTCACAGCGTGACCTTCAGAAAAACAGATTTGCTCGTCAGGTGCCCAGCGAAGGAGCCTTAGGCAGGTGCTGAATTCAGGCCGGTGGTCCCTGCTGAGAGCTGCGCTGCTGCAGAGCAGGGGGACCACCAGGCCTAACCCGCTCACAGCCCCAGCGAGTACCTCACCGAGTGTATGTGCCTCATACAACATAAAGCCAAGCGCTGCGATATCGATCTGCCGTCACTACTTGGGGTTTAGTGTATTCGCCTAATACTTGCTCCGAATTAAACCAAAATTGTTAAATGGGGGTTCTTAAATGTACATAGATTGCTTTAATAAAACTATTTCTGTACCAAATGTCAGTATAGACATTCCACTAATGGTCACTTTTTTCCCCTAAAAATGTAGATCAGAGCTATCTGAATAGCATTAAATTAGTTCTCTCAGTTTTACAACTTCTGTAGTATATAAAATTAGTTTTATGCCTAACAGCAGTACCAAATTAAACAAATCTTAGACAAGGTGGAGCTGTAAACTAGCAGGTAGAGCATAAGGGCTCTACGTACAGCACTGGTAAAAGAACTTGACCTGAAGAGTACAGAAGTGTATTCCCATTAAGTAATTTTTTCCATTTTCCAGTAACAGTGGGTCATGGTATTGCAGACCGGGAAGCTGCTTCTGTCTCTTCTGCTATGCTGTCACCTTCTAAGACTTTTTTACAAAAGCCAATTACCTAGTTTTCTTAGGACTTTTTGTGCATATTCCACAATTGTGGAATATTTAAAAACTTAATTAAACAAGCTGCCCCTTGATGAAGAATATTACTGAACACCAAGTACCATAGTGGTTTAAGGAGTTAACCAACCATCAGAGGAAAAATAAGCACACTCCGCTTTGTCTGGATAGAGAAAGCTGGGTTTCCTGTTGTTAGGTGCACTCTTAACTGTTTTTGGTAGAGGATGGTGCTTTAATTAAGGACTGAAGCTCATCCTCTAAATCACATATTCTAACTATTAGACTAAAGTCACTTTCAGCCCCTTAAAAATAATATAGAGCTTATTAAAAAAAAAAAAAAGAGGGCAAGCTTTCCCCTTTGCTAATGATAAAATCATTGGTATGTATCATTACAAACTTCAGGATAGGTCCTAACTCCCAGACCTATGCCAGGAGTGACCAAAGCCCTTCTTCAGATGGAGATAAAAATCCATCTTTTTTTTTCTCCCCTCAAAGGAGAAACTGTCTCATATCAGGTGCATCTCAGCTGTTTCCCAGTTAATTCCTTTAAGACAGTTCTGCCTCTCTGGAGCCCCATGACAGGGATTTTATAGGCTAACGATCAGAGTTAATTACTGTAATTTTCAAATACCATTTTATACACTACAAATTAAAAACTAAGGAAAAAAAAACACCCTGCTTGTGACTGACTGAACGAAGAGAACAGCAGTTAAGCATCTATGCTTTGATCTCTTAAATAAGGTGGGTGATCAGGACTAATGCCAGTCTGTAGCAGATTGACTGTACAAGATCTCGGATAAAATCGCTGCTGTGTATTGCTGGGTTGTTGCAGCAGCCTTGTCAACAATGGAGCTATGGTGCTGTATTATCCTGAATATTGTAACATGAAATTCAAGGCAGGGGAGGGGGAAGCCTGGTAGCGATATCTTTCATTATACATTACGTCCTATACTCTTAATGTAGGACCTTCCTGAGAGCTGGCTTTAGAATCTGTACTTATATGATAAAATTTTCATGGAGGCTTTCAGTATTAAAGGAGCCTTTTGATAACCTGGCGACTGGGGATGACCAGTATGAATGATTTATGGGGAAAACAGAAACTCATGGTTGGCAAGCACTTTTATTATGAAATGTGGGAAATGGGAATAACCCCTCCTCCTCATTTCCCTTGCCTAGTAAAACTAGGAAACAGTGTCCTAAAGAAAAATACTTAAAAAATGTTACGATGAAAATGATCAATTCTTGAGGTTTGCACTTCAGCATCTGAATGCGCCAGAGTCTACTGACCACCCATAACTTTAAGCAATGCATCCTACAGCCATTGTAAACATGTGCCTCCATGTTAATCAAGCTGCTATACTCTCTCCCTCAATTTCCATAAACAGATGCTGTTTTGAACAAAAATCTTTGACTCGCCCAGGTGAGGCATCGAATGACAGTATTTGTCATGATGTCTGTTTGGCTAGCAGTCCAGGTTATAACTTGCACTATGTCTGTGGCAACTTTTTCTAAAAGATGTTCCATGTTTTTCTCTTTCAGGATGGTAGACTAGCAAGCAGCGGTGATTTCCCATATTTTGGAACTCTAACGCCAGCACCACTTGTAATCTGTAGACAGCTGTGGCTACAGGTGAAAATGAAAGTTCTCTGTATGTCATAAACCAAAAAACTAGGAATCAGCTAGTAGTGTTGTAAACGGTTGAGATTTCAGGAGATAGTTCTGTTGCTCATCTGATACATGTTTGTCTAAAGACAGCTCTCTATAGTAATAGGTGAGTAATGAATCACACACTGTGTTGATTTTTTGTTAGTTTTTTGCGCAAATTACATTCTGTATTCATACAAAAACAACGTAACTTTTCCAACAAACTGTACATATAGAAACAAGTTTCTGTCTGAAGGCGAACTGAAATCTGTGGAGGTGCTCCATGTCTCATAACACTTAAAAAAAATTCCAGCTCTTCACAAAACAAAGTAGGTAAAAGAGGGCGAGGAGAACGGGTGGAGAGGACAAAACAGAAAGCTAGCTACAGTACTGCAGCTAGTAGCGTCTGATTGATGTAGGAAAAGACCCTTGTTAGGAACTAATGCACATTCAGTTATCCCAGTTAAGAATCCAGGTTTGTGGTGTTGCAGGGTTACTTTATGAGTCCAGAGTAGCAGTCTATTTAAATATTGTCCAGCAAGGACTGGGTGTGACCCAGTCAAAGCCTCTTCTATCGGCCTCTTCCACCACCCCTAGATGCTCCTCTTCTTGACTGGCCAGAGTTCATGTTATTTCCTCGTCCCCAATTACTTCCACTCCTTCCTCCTCGAGAAGGGTTACTGCCTCCTGCAGGGCCACCACCAAAAGCTTCATCCCTGTGGAATCCATCGTGATGGTCTCCATCTAAAGAACTAGACCTCCCAGATTTTGGCGCTCTCTGTGAAGGTCCTGAATTTCCTCGTCCTAAAAACGAAGCACAATCAATTAGTGATGCTGAAGTCTGAGCCATGCCTCTTCTCAGACACGCCATACGTATAGCGAGTTCTTCTGTGGTATAATCATTCACAGACCAAATGTAGCCAAGACCTGTAATTTTATGCCTCCTCACTCTATATGATTTTCCTTACATAGATTTAGTGTCTCCGCTGCGGTCCAGAAGACGGACAGCAGTCAAGCAATTCCTTGGGAACTAAAGGAGACTGTATCTGATACAGTCAGCAGTCACCTGAATGAAGTGAGTTAGAACAGTGATAGTCATGGCGTCCTCAAAACTGCCAGGCATACCTGATTCTTATGCTTTAACCATCTGTGGTTCTCTCTATATTTTTATTGCAAAATACTTTTTTTTTCCTGCCCTAAAGACAGACATTGCACTGATGGATCAGTTGAGGTTGGTGGTGAAGACAGTGAGTAACATTACTGTTGCGTTCCATTTTTTGCTAGAAATAACAGAAAAATGCTCTACTACTAACCAGTCACATAAATTACATGAGCTCTTACTGCCAGGCATAGGATTTTCTATTTCTCATGTACCTTTTTAATATTGATAAGTAAATTAACATAAAAAACCCTGAAGTTATTAGCTCAAAATAACAAGCAGTATTCTGGAAAAAAAGAAAAAAATTAATGGTAACAGTGCTTTATGGACACGTGCTACAGCTAAATTAGGATACTTTTGCTCCGCTTCAGCAAGTGAGTTTTGTTGACTCTAGTTCTGTGTAAAATAGAGACCAAATTGTTCCACAGAGTTTATAATTCATGAAGTTTTAATCTTCAAATTACTTTGCCAGTACAACTGGAGGCAACACAGCCCATGTATGAAAAAGTATTGTTCATGTTTTATTTATCAGGCTTTCTCCCATTGTTCTAAGCTGTCTTTGGTACATTAATGGGTTGTCTAGGCACCAGAAGTGTGGTAGTTAACAAATGTTTTGACTTCAGGAAAGAATTTGGTAAGAGCTATCACAAATTATTGAAGCTGGAGAAGGAATCCTTACAGATTTGATCAGATGCTGGCTAAATAAGAAAGATGACATACAGTTTTGAAAGGAAAAATATTGATACAGAGGGAGTTCACCAGTGGAGTTTTATTAAAAACATCTGTGAACGAATGATAAAACCTGCTGTTAATACACCATGTGGAAGTACAGTCCACGCAGAGGAGGACTGTCATACAGTCAAAACTAAATGAGCTTCAGGACAACAGTAAGTGAAGTGGAAAGAAATTCAGTGGCAAAGAAAAAGCTGTGCAGTAGAGGTCTAACAACAGAAGATTCAACTACAGGCTGGCCGTGCAGCATGTGGAAGCAGCTGAGAAGGATTTCTGTCACTGATCATGATCTAACAGTGGGTACTCAATACCAGGACACCAAAAAAGAAGAAGACAGCAGCAATCCTGAGATCTGTAAGAAGGAGGATCAAAACCTGGTGCAAGGCTAATAGGATGACTGTGGAAATGGCATACACAGTAATCCGCTCTGAACCGGCTACTAACTCCAAAAGGATGTATTTTGTGGGTTACAGTAGCGAGTTGTGTGACGGTGCCACGTGACTAGTTAGTCAAGGAGGGAACTACGACATTGGGACCTATTAGGAAAGACTGGAGAAAACAGAACAAAACCAAGTGAACTGTAGAAATCCATGGTTAAACCACATCTTAAATAGTGTGTGCAATTCCTGGTTAGTTACTCTGTTTCATTTACAAAAGGATAAATTAAAATTGAAAATAATACATACAAAGCAATAAGGATAGTAAAAGACACAGAACAATCTATCAGAGAGAAAAACTAAACAGATCAGAGCTCTGACTTGGAGAAGAGCTAGTTCAGGTTGGAAGAGAGTTTGATGCAACTAGAAGTGGCATTCAGAAATAACTGGGATCAACTTTCAGCTGTTCCAATCAAAACACAAGATGTCATTGAATGAAATTAGTGAACGACAGGCTTGAAACAAGAGAAGAACATTTTCCTTCCTTTTTTTTTTAAAATCACAGTCTACTGCAATTTAAGTTTTAGAGCTCTGTCCGTGGTTGTTGATGTTAAAAGTTTATATGATTCTGAGGTAACTGTCAAAAGCTATTAAATATAAAAATAGTATTTCACTCAGTCACTGAACTACAGCTGTTCATAGGTGTAGAGAGCTTTTCGGGGACATAATCGCTACAGACTTACAGTGTTCTTAACACTGTTCCCTCAGTACCTGCTACTGGCTGTTGCTGAAGAAAAGTTACTGATCTTTATGGACTTCTGGTCCAGTCACGGGTGGCCGTGCTTACACTGTTACTAGTAGAGAACTCAAAAGACTTAAAAAAAGTCAGGGTTCTTTAAGTCCAACAGAATGAAGGCTGAGACAGGAAAGATACCTGAGTTAAAGGATGCTGGCACACGTGTGAATGCTAACAAATAAGTATTCTGAAAACTAGAGAAGAAAAGCTCTTAAGAAGAGTTTTCCAACTGGAGTAACAGGGAGCCAAAAGCTAACTGCTTTGGAACAGGGCACTAAAGAAGAGGACTGTATAATGCTGGAGAGAAGATTTGGGTTTGGTGTCCCAGAAGATCCCTCTGTTATGTTCCTGTAAGACTGGTCCTCAGCTTCACATCTGCTAAGATCAAATATGTACTAGTTCAGCTTTATCCCCTCTGAACAGACAAGGAATTCTGGATAAGCCCACAGCTGAAAAATATGCCGGTGTTACCGAAGGTTTTCAATACAAGGGGCTTTTTACCTTTGCCCCTCTCCTCTGGAGGTCCGCCTGGAGCATCCATTTCTCTGTGGTCAGAGGTCCCTGGTCCATCATGCCAGGGACGTTTACGTGGTGGCAACGAGGCCATGTCCATGCCCTGGAGCGAAGAAGAACGTTCTCTGTTAGCTGGAGAATGCCTGTCATGAGGAGGGTGATCTGGATGAGGACCTGAGCGTGAAGAGAAAAAAAAGGATAAGAAGTAATGTTCATCTGATCGTTGCTTCTCATTTCTGGAGGCAAGTTGCATAAATATACATACTTTCCGTGCTATTTGGCACGTAATTTAAAGTTAAAATTACATAAAGCTCTCTCCCCAGCCCCTTCTCAACAGGCAAACAAGCAAACATTAGCTGAACAAGTTGTTAGAAAGCTAAAGGTAAAAGAGGTTTAAAAGATGATGGGAAATAAAGAAGTGACATACACAAAGTGTCTGTCTCCCTATAAAATATTTTTATGTATTTTAGAGACAACCACATCTTCATTGTTACTTGTTTGTGCCATTTGTGCTCATTTTTCCATGGCATTCTAAAACTCAAGTTTTGCCCCACATGGGGTTTCCATTAGAAACACAAATGGAAATACCAATAAGCTGTCACACATTGCAGCTGAAAACATTATTTTTGCAAACAACAGAGAAGATGCCATAAAAGAGAAAGATTACTATTGGCATTAATATGCATTTCAAAAAAACCCCACAAAGTATGCTTCAGTCATGCCCAGGTGACAACAACAGGCAGCTCTGGGCTCTACAAGAATTCAACTTTAAAAAAATCCAGTCTTTGAGGCCACAAGCATCATTTGTTCAGAGTGAGACAGCTGCATTCAGAGCCAGCTGAATTCTGTATAGGTTTGTGCTTTTCTTCCCCGGACATTAGAAGTCCAAAGAACTATGTTTTGCTTTTCTGGTGGTAAGAGAGTGGTTAATGAGCATATGAGGTACAGGAAAAAGAAGTGATTTGGAAAATTTTTGTTAAGTGGTTATATTGTAGAACTCTAGTGTCTATGACCTAAAGCAAACCTCACCAAGATTTTTACCTGGTTCTCTGTTTCCATCCCAGGATTCTGGTTTCCGCCCTCCTTCAAAGCGTGGAAATTCATCTGGAGTAGGAAGCAAACCCTTCCGGCCTCCTGAGCAGTAAGAGATGCAGGGGACAGCAGTGAGAAGAGACATTCTATTCATGAAAATACTGTAATTTGCCCAAGAAATGTCTTTGCTTCCTTAGCCTCGCGTTTGAGTGTGGAAGAACGTTCCCCTCACCTCTAAGAGCACCACGACCTCGCCCCCGAACACCATGGTCCCTTCCTCTGGAGTTTTCATCCGGAGAATCGAAAGTGTCATCTGGCCCAAACTCTTCAGGGCCAGGAAAGCCATCTCTCCCCCTGGGTCCCCGGCCCTCATGTCTCGAGGGTCCTCCTCTTCTGAAGCTACAAGAAAGAACATGGTACAAAGGTGGTTTTTAGGCACAATTGAGACTGATAAACTTGAGTCAGCTTCAGCTTAATAGTCAACGCATTTCTGAACTGTTTACTTCACACTGCAGCACATACAGTTACTAGAACAGGATCTGTAGGTGCTCATTTTCTGCTTTAAGCACTTCGTTTATTTATTTTTATAGTTTTCCCCTCACATTTCCTTCTGTTGATTGCATTGGTTTTTCATACAGGAAAAATAATGTGAAATATACTGCATCCATTTAATGAAAAGGAAGAAAAGTCAGCGAGTGATGATAGATATAAGGTAAGGTAAGGAAAAGCGTATGTGAATTTCCCTTAACTGTGGTGGTGTTACTTTCCCCTTCCCTTTTTTCCCTTCGGTTTTAGTAATAAAAACAAACTGAAAAAATACAAGCAATGAGAATCACGGCTACAACAAAACATTCCAGCATCTCATTCCTGTCAATTTGGGATTCTTTTCCTGGAACATTCTCTTTGTCTCCTTCCATTCTTCTAAGTTTACAATTTTAGCAAATGAATCTGGACTGCACTTGGCTCTGTAGGGATGATGATTGCTCAACTGCGTGCCCAGCGGCATCCTACGACCTGAAGAACACCTTATCCAACTGCAATAATGAACAACTTTGTTGTGCAAAATGTAGTTATGACACTAAAGTTGATAATTTCCTTCTAGTTAAGTTCCACGGCATCTTGAGTAATTTGGTATGATTGGGTTCTGCATCTCGTCTTAAATGAGTACACCTCCTCCAGTATCACACTGGGGTTTTAACAGAGATCTTCAGAGAGAAGGATGGTTCTTAATGAACTGTCAGTGCCGTTTCGGGTAAGCCTATGGATGGCTGCATGAATATGAGCAGCTTTGTTTTTTACATGAGCAGTGTAAATGCTTGGAGTCCATGTTCTGTGCATCACTGCAACTCCAAAAGCACGCACTGGCACCGGTGGTGAGGATTGCCTCGGCTTACGGCCCGGTTTCTGTGCAAGCACAGGCGAGATGTTTAGGTGGTGCAGGCACAGGGGTCCAGGAGTCCTCGCGGTGTGACCCCGCACCGCTCCTGCCCGCCCCTCGGTGACGGGGTGGGTAATGCGGAGCGCTCTGCCCGCTCACGCTGGTGCCCCCCGCCTCCCTTCTCTTCCCAGTTCCACACTGGCCCCTCCACAGCCACCGCACTGCTCAGATGGTGATGGCTTTGTGCAACAGCCCCTTCCCCAGCTCATTAACGACACAGTGCATCCTATTACAAGCAAAACTTTAGATACTTTTATTTAGAATTTTAACAACATTAACCTTTTAATTACAAATTTAAATATTTTAACAGTAGTCATAACACAATACAATATTTTTAAACTTTTACATTTTTTTTTTTTAATTAAAAACAATAGGTCTGTCTCCACCTCCCAGAAAACAAACACAATACAGAGAGGAGGCTGCTGTGCCTGTATAGGTACAACAGTGGATGGAGGGAGTGCTGTGCATGGACAGTGAACCATTTCACATTAACCTGGATGATCTGGGCAAACAAACTTAACAGTTTCAGGTACAAATGGTTCAAATAATCACATAGCAATATTGTTTAGCCTTGAAACAGCACAGTCCTCTAGATGTTCTTTAGAGGGCCTCCCATTTTAATACTGACATGGTGTGGTTCTGCTTAGCTTGTGAATTACCAAGACTTGCAACCCAAGGTCCTATGGCTAGCAGGAACAGGGCCTTGTCCTCTGTTCCCAGGCAATGTCACAGACACCGTTTAGTTTTGAAACCTATCATACCTATGCCTGACACAGCCACAGCTCCTAATATTGTGTTATGTGTATCCTTTTTCACTTTTTCGTCTCAGTCACATGTAAAACCCTGCCTTGCATAGGGCTCAGTTCCTGTTTGACTGCTCTCAGATCTTCTTCCTTGAGGCCTAGGACCTTAACGTACAGAACTAGACACTGTGCAGATTAGCAGGCAGGAAGAGGCAGGTCTCTGCGGTAGAAGCATCATGTTGATATACACAGGTAGAGTAAGAACAGGACAGGGATGAAAAGGACGGGAAATTAGAGAGAAAACACACATACACACACTTCCCTCTCATGCTTGATCAAACAAGTTACAATCTAAATGCCAAACCAAGTCAGCTAAACCAGCGGTTGGGATTCTTAAGTTCACCTCAGCATCTGCAGTAAAGGGCACCTAATCCACCTTCGCCAGCACGATAAGCCTTTTTATAGTCCTGTGCTGATTCCTTGTAAACCAAACTCTGTGTAAAAACATTCGTGCTCTGACAAAGGGATGACTCTTGGCTCAGGAGTCACGTTTACAGGTCAGAGGGTTCTTGGACTCTCTTCCTGAAACCTTTTTAAAAATCATGATCATAGTATTTTCCAGTCCCTATGCATTTCCAATATCAGATTTGAAGAATCTCTGCCGAGCTTCTAAAAGTGGCATCTGCTGTGTCTTTTAGAATTCTAGAATGCAGACCATTCTGCGTGGATTCTCTCTACTTTTACTTTTTTAAAATGGCTTTAATTGTTACCTTCTTTTAGTTACTGTTCATTTCTTTTCATACTCTTCACACAAAAGGAAGGTACATCTTTACAGAGCTAGGTAGAAAATAGCTAAAAGAAGAGCTGTATAGATGCAAAGTAAAAGGAATGTAAGAAAACAATTAAAAAGGCAACTAAAACACACAAAATTCACATTATGTGGAGACCACAATATATCTGTACAAGTACACGTTCTTATACATATAGAGTTGGTGGTCAGTGAGAGGCTTAGACCTTGGAGGCCAAATTTAACTCGGTTAAACTAGCATCAACCTGGAGCAGTTTCGATGGCAGTTCATCTTGCTGACTTAGCGAAATTCCTCCATATTTACATGGGTAACTAGAAGCAAATTCATCCCTTTGTGATTTATTTGGAAATAGTGAGCAATGACATGGGCATTGCTGTAAATTGGGGTACTTCTGAGTTCTTCGCTTGGCATTAAGAAATAAGTCAGAAAGCGAAATAAAATTTCTACAAGCAAAAACATGAGAAAATAGTCTCAACGGTCCAACAGATGCTGTAGCTCTGCCCCTGATGTTTGATAGTAGGATCACTGTTCCTGCTCCTTACAAGTCTATCACATCTCACTCTACGGTCTCTACAGTCGAGCTGTAGTTTGTGACTGGAGACAAAGTCTCAAAATCCACTTCTAGTGTTCAAAAGCTTGTCACTTTAACCTTCAAGTTTCCTCTCAATTTTCATCAAAACAGTCTCAAATCTTCATCCTCTGTCACTGGATCTTCTCTACAAATTTCCTCCCTTCTCTTTACTTACTGTTTAAAGACACGGAAGCTGCTGTGTACAATGACCATTTTTCAAGTTTTCTTCTATTACTGAATGATTTTTACGGACTCTATACTCAGGTATATTAGAGTTTTCATTTCCTTATTGGTTTCCAGTTTATAAATCTGAAACAGATAGACTCCTTAATGAAAAGGAAACCAGGAAGAAAGAGTTCCCTCCATTTACCCTTCAACCCAAAAAAGATGAGTAGATTTATTCTTACCTCTCATCTCGTCTTCCGCGGAATCGTGCATCCTCAGGATCCCGTGGATATCTGTCATCTGAAGGTCTCCGTCCTTCCCAAGCACCAGGAGGCCCACGGTTTGAACCCCCTCCTTCAAATTCCCTGTGATCAGGAGGAAAGGGAGGCCCAGGTCCACCTCGTCTCCATTTCTCGTCTTGCAATGGTGGGCCTCCTCTCCCCTCAAATTCCCGTAATCGATGGCCAAATCTCTTATCTGGATGGAAGTCGTCACGGAAGTCATCTGGTCGATCAAAGTCATCATGGAAATCTGGGTGAGGTCCTCGTCTATCTGGCATGCCCCTGCTGTCTCTACCATCACCCCACTCCTGGCCACCTCGAAACAACCCTCTCTCAGGCCCATGATCAGGACCACCACTGTTCTGGTCGTGCCTTCTATCTGAGAGAGGGCCCATGTGATGGTTTGGTGGACCACGGGAGTCACCTTGAGGGAAAAAATCATAGCAGATTTCTGTAACGTTTTCTAAAAACGCTCTAGGATGCTCTAGTTTGTACAGTTCTACAAAGCATACACCATACATTTCACATTCGATAATTTGGGGGGGGGGGAACTTTTCCTCTATATTCCAGCCCAAGTCTACAGAAGCTTTCCTCTCAGCCAAGGCCCTGCACTCTGCTGTAGCCTTTTCTGTCTAGAGGCACTGCACTGCAACAGCCTCTCCTAGGAGAATCACTCACAGAGGAACTGAAAATGGATTTAGTTACCTTTATTAAGACCAGGTCCTTGGTTGTGAGGGCCAAGACGACCTTGTCCTCCCTGCTGCCCCAGTCCTGGTATCAGTGGTGGAGGACCTGGGTTCTGGCCGTCCTGTGAGCATATAATAAGAAAAGCCACGTGAATTGCAGTGCTGAGTGTTTTTGCTTTTAACCATTTTGTAAGGGGGCAAAGCAATTTTCACTACATAAAGACAGGGTCTTCGCAGGTCTTACAAGAGAAACAGCTGATTTTCCAATAGTTTCAACCCAGTTTTTCAGACATTCACATCAGTAATGCTTTTCAGTAACTGTCTGAGAAACACATAATTCTATAGGAAAGTTAGCATTTCAAGGACTAATATTTTACCCGTAACAACCAAAGATGATAAAGCTCATATTCTAGCTGCCTGTGGGAGAAGATAAGGAAACTGTGCATATTTGTTTGAAAAGCGTCAGGTACTGATTTATGTGCATACAGCACTTAAAGAGCTGCATAGACCAAAGACCTCCTTTGGAAATGAACAAAAAACTGAAACCATGAAAAAACAAAAATATCAAGCATGTCAGGACAGGGGGGACAACAACAGGGCCAGAAGAGAACCTCTCCTGTAAACCTCTGAACTGTTAACACAGAAACACGAGTTTCATATTTAACATGCTGGCAAGGTTTGTTTTTCTTAATTCTAGTTCCACGATCAAAAGAAAGTACTAAGGCTTGGCTAAGCACCAAGAGACACATTGTTAATGGGTTATTAAGCAATGACAGGGCTAAAGGCAGAAGCTGCAGTCACCTGCTTTTCTCAGGCAGGAACAGTAGAGCGAGCGAAGTTTGTGCAAGTTATGTGATCCCAAAGAAAAAATAAAGGATATAGAAGTCTTTTGTTATCTTTCTCTTTTTTTTGGTGCATTTTAAAGGATAAAATAATGTTCTTTCAGCTACTGTCAGAAACCCATGAGAGATTTCTACGATTACCATATTTACACTGGACCCGCTATGATAACATTACCGGAACTATGAGATCCCACAATAACATATATCATGGTGAACAAGACTGAGTTGAAACTTGCAAGGTTGCGGTACAAAACCTTTTTATGTGGACATAACAAAAAAAAAAATCCCCTCAAAACCCATACCAGAAAACTCTAAACATGTTGTATTTTGCTCCTAGACATGTCTAATATGTAAGAGTTAGACTTGGCCTTCATATTGCCTTGTAAAAAGCTCCCCAGACTGTAGGTAGGTGGTAAATACTTCAAAACCTACACTCCGTTGCTGTCATTGTGCTCATAATTGCACTGCTCAATCTCTCCCTCAATCAAATCATTTTCATGCTCTGAATTTATTCTTGTGAAATGCTGTTGTTTTTTTTTCATCCTGGTTCCAGAGAAGCAATAAGTTGACTTGTGCAGTTTTCGCATCACATCTCGAAACACTGCTTTTAAATGAGACATTTACATTCAGCTGCAATACGGGTGACAAACACAAAAAAGCACACAAATATATACTACAGACATCACATTTGCATCGAGTAATTCTGCAAGAACTTTGAAAAAAAGGCAAAATAAAAGGCCTGGTCCAATGACTATTAAAAAAACTAAAAAAATACTTTCCTAGTGACTGAATGTTGATTTGAGTCCAGAACAAATAAATTGCCTGACTAGGAAAGATCCAGCTATCGCAGTGCTTCTGCCATCCTTGAACAAAACCGTGCTGGAGTTCCATGATTTCTCATATATTTAGGATATGCTTACCTACAATAATCTTTACTGAACTTCTTAAATTTATGCCAAAGCAGCAGTTTTTTGCACTCACTAAATTGAGTTTCCTTAGCATTTAGCAAAAACCTCTATTCCAAACAAATCATGCTTTGACAAGATAGAAGACAGAGCCGTAATGCTGCATTTGCACGTGCTTTTCATTTCAAAACACATTCAGGGCCCCACACTGGGCTCAGAACTGAAAAATGACTCTCCAGCTTCGAGGGAGGAACCGCCCGGAAAGCTGTGCATGGCCCTGCATGCCCTGCACCCCGGGGTTCTGCACCGCTCACGTGCTGGTGCAGCAACGCCGTGGCTCCACGCTACTGGTGTATCTGCCCTAGCTATGCAAACGGCACAGCCGCGTTACGGCAGCCGTCTGTGTTAATTAAAACTATGCACTGGAGTGGGGGAGAACTCCTTCTAATCACCCATAAGAAAAATCTGCTTTTCTTCCAAAATACTGCACAAGCTCCTGAAGTTTGTCTCTACACGGACAAGAGACTTGGTCTGAAGTGTTCGTGCTTCACTCAAGCAGTAAATGAGATGAAATTCAGCACATCTATCTAAAAGGAATGCGAGGAGATCCAATCTAAATTAGCAGTAGCAAAAGAGCTCCAGCGTACCAGTGCTAACTTGGGAATACTCTGTTCACCCATCTGCATTTTAATATCAACACGCCTATCTCCAGAGTAAGATTCCGACAATCGTATCTCGCGCAACTCCCTTCGCACAAACAGTTCACGGTTCCGTTTCACGTCTGCAGAAGGTAGCAGATCTCACGCTCTGGAAGAGACGTGCATCTCGCCCACACGCTCTGCAGGAAACTTCTGCTTCCTGATACACAGCGGGTGCAGGTAACGTGGTGTCTGATATGGAGATTAACCTTTACAAATGTGTATAAGCGGTCGGTATTAATGTCACAAGCCCTTGATAAAGCAGATATATAGTCATACCCTCCTGCTACTGAAAAGGAAGGCAAGTGATTTGTACAAGTTTACACATGATAAATATCAAATTCAGAACAAAAAACAAGCTAAAGCCTGTTGTTTAAAAAAAACCAAAACCAATCACAGCTAGGGCCTTTTTAAATAGGAACTACTATAACATTTATATTACACAGAAGCAACTGACATTATGAAATTTAAAATCTGTGTATTTAAAAAAGACATTACCACACTAAAGCTGCACAAGGAAGGAAAAATGGTCAAAAATACGTTGCTTTGTCCTATTTTAGCATCTGTAAGACTCCAAGATAGCAGTGTTCATTGAAAATAACCGGCCACCTGTCACAAGCACCTTACTCAATTCTGACCGGAGCGTTAACAGCAGGGTCAGACAAGGACAGCCAACACATATACGCAAACATACACAAACTTCCAGACACACACACAAGCTTGGTAACTATTCTCAAAGCAGAGAAGTTAAGTCTCCGTGGGGTAACAACGAGAACACTATGCTAGTTGAAGTTAGACGAGTAATAGTTGTGGAACCAGCGCTCATTGACTTAACCTTCACACTTTCGAGATCTCAGCAACAGTGTTGCGTTAGTAGATTTCTGGAGGGAATTATTGCTGATTTATAAGAAAAAAATATTCAGAGAAACCCACAATTTGTAGGCCACTCTGCCTCAATTTGAAATGAATCACTGAGCTAAAGCTCACTTTGATAGCTCGTCACACATTGCGATCGGTACTACACTACACACACGAAGGACTATACGCGCACCTGTCTAAAGCTTTAACTACAGAGTGCAAGTCTAAAAGTTCATTCTTTTTTTTTAAAAAAACCGCCCACATTTCTTAAAATTGAGTAAGTAGATTCCCCCCCCCCCCAAATGTCCCCTTCAAAATTCACCTTAACGCTGCAGGCAATCAAGAGAAATTTTAAGTACAGAATCAGTGCCATACAAATAGGAACTTGTAAGGCCCAGTAAATACTGAAAGCTCTGCGTCATCTGCGGTAGACCAGAAGATGGAATGAGCCCATTACGAGAGATGCTGGAAAGGGCAGAGCAGGTCACAGCTGGTACTGAGCGAGGCTTAATCAAAACCTGACTTGATTCCTGCAGAATTAATTGGCGTGCCTATAAGCGACACTCTCCAGCATTGCAGGTCAGCTACGTGCAAGCGTATTGCCGAGCTGGCAGACCCCCTTGGAGCCGAGGGCCAAGGCAACGCAGCAGCCAGCTCGCACCCAGGCCCCGCTCAGCAGTTCCAGACTTGGGCTGGCCCTACTCAAACCTGCCTGATACCTGTGCTCCTTCTCGTGCTTCTTGGCAGATGATGCGGTAACGAGTTAACAGTGCACAACGCCAATCCCTTAACTCATGCTCCAGAAAGTACCAAGGTGCCTCAAGGATTTCTGCACCGAGGTAGGAAGCAGGATAGCTGTGTTTCTGTGCGCTTAGTTTGAACTGGGAAGTTCAACCAGACCTACGCTGACTCCAGGTGTGTCAGCACCCATGGTAAATTCATCCCATAGTTTGGATAAACTACTCTGGGACAACTGAGAGTTGGCAGTAACTTGCTTTAATTAATACAGAGGAGTTTTATGTCCAGTTTGCTTAAATTCAACACTTCTTAGTGCTTCCTACTCTCCAGGAAATTCCCCACTTAAGCCAGTTCAGTGCCCTTCAGTTAAAAACCTGGAGTTTCTCTTAAGGTTACATGTTTTCTGTACCAGTATTTCCAATAATCTCTTTTCTACAGTTACCTCTGCTGTTTCATGACTACATAACTCAATTTTTCATTATCATTTAGGTTTTCCTGAGGCCTCAGTCTCGCAAGCGCACCGAACCTCCAGTCTCTCAGCTCTTGCTCTGCATTTCTATTGCGTGCCGTTACCATTCCCACATTCTTGACACTCTTCTTGTTGCACAGACCAACACGTACCTGATTAAATGGGGGGCGAGGCCCATCACCCAACAGAGGCGTTTTCTGCTGCTGGAAAGGCAGAGGGCCCTGGGAAGGGTGCGGCCCCCTTGAAGGGTTCGGTTGTCCCTGAGGTCCTTGCATGTTTCCTTGAGGCCCTACTAAAGAGCCTTGTGGAGGTCCCTGCTGGCCTTGTGGCCCACGCAGTTCTTGTGGCGGTCCTAACATTGTACCTTGAGGCGGGGGTCCCTGGAGGCCCCTCATCTCCTGGGGACCATGTCCTAGTAAACCACTTTGCATATGAGGACCTCTCATTTCTTGTGGATGACCCATCATCATCCCTTGTGGAGTAGGTCCCTGGTTGTCTCTGGGTCCTGGTGGACCCTGCATCCCTCTTGGATTAAGTCCCATCAAAGGCCCTTGAGATATAGGGCCCTGCATTCCTTGAGATCCTGGAGCTCCTTGCATGCCATGAGGAAGAGGTCCTTGCATTCCTCGGGGACCAGGTGGCCCTTGCATTCCTTGACCACCAGGCGGACCTTGAGGACCCAGGTGACCTTGTGGGCCAGGTGGACCCTGTGGTCCTAAATGAGTCTGAGACCCAGGTAGACCCTGGGGTCCTAAGTGGCCTTGTGGGCCAGCGTTACCCTGTGGACCTGGAGGCCCCATTGGCCCATGAGGGCCAGCATGTCTCTGCATTCCTTGATGTCCATGTAAATCCTGAGGCCGGGGCATTCCTTGTGGAGGTCCTTGGGGGCCCGGAGGTCCTTGTGGTCCCATGAACCCTTGTGGACCTGCAGCTCCTTGGTGTAATGGAGGACCTTGAGGTCCTGGAGGTCTGAACTGTCCTTGTGGACCAGGAGGTCCCATCTGAGGCATATTCATTGGCATCTGCTGAGGTGGAAGGGGCTGCTGAAATCCTTGAGGCATCTGTGACATTGGGCCTTGCCCTGGAAAAGGCTGGGGTCCATGAAGAGAGCCTCCTGGAGGTGGCGGCTGCACTTGCTCCGCTTGCTTTTGTGCAAGTCTCTCGATCTTCAATTGCTGTCCGAAAAAAAGAGACCCAGAAAATCAACTACGCATGGAAGTATACGTAACAACCAAATATCAGAAGCAACCATCTCATTTCTCGGTAGTTTAAAAAGATTTAGTGCTTTTCTCTTAACTAATGGAAATACAGCTAAAGAGATCCATAAATTGGTATTAGTTAACTGAAACGTGGCAACCTGCTGAAGGTACCATAGCATGCATGAAGTCCAATGTCCTGTTAGATCAGATGGGTTGTGAAAAAAGGTGAAAAAAGTACTGCAAAAGCAAGCGACCCATTTTAGTGTTGAGGTCCAAATGCATCACAGAGCACTAAAACCCATTTGCTAATAACCGTTTTGGCATACGTACCTCCAGGAGCTGTGGGTTTGTGTACTGAAGTGCTGCCATTTCCTGCTCAATCTCCGCCTGCGTCTTCTTTTTCTCCTCCAGCTTAAGGTCTTCCTTTCTGTCATTCAGTGGCTCGGGTGGGGGAGGCAAAGGAACTTTATTCTGCATCCATGCCTATACAGAATAGTAAACATCAGATGAATTCTGTAGAACAACACGTATACAGCACTGGGTAAGGATATGCTGGAACACTGTGTAGTATGGATGTTCAGAAGCTAAAAACAATGCTGAATAAAACTTCTGTATCTTGTAACATCCTGTTTTCCAGGTACAGATACAAGACAGAAGGGATTTAACCAAATATTTCCTGCTTGAATAGTAATTAAACTAACTACTGGGGTAAATTATTTTGCACTGGGTGTTGATATGAAAGAGTTGACACTGGAAATCCGAAACACTTCAACAGCCACGCACCTTTTGAAGTTTGCAAAATAACAAGCCGCTCTCCTGTTCACTGTGTATCAGGTACTTACCTGCTGAAACTGTGCTGGTATTGGTTTTGCATAGGGCACTTTCTTCTGCGGCACCTTCTTTTGGTCCTTTTGCATTACTTCCTCCATTCCCCAGTCCAGTCCCGGGATTGTCATTTCAATATCGTTGGACTCATCTTTCCCTTTAGTGCCAGGGAGACAAAACAGTCAGAGCAATGCAGGTTTACAGAGAAATCCTGCTACTCTCTTCACAGCTTATTTAGCAAAAGATACCAAGAGGTTTTCAACACTCCTCCTCTTTACATGGAAAATACGCACAATATAGAACTTTATAAAACAGTGTCTGTGCTATCAAAAGACATGAAAGGAATGAAAGAGAAGTCACACGGCATCGGGATGGCTCAGGAAAATGCTTCCCCATAGCTACTACTTACCCATCTGCTCTTGCTCCATGGCTATTTTCAATTGTTCAGGTATTCCCATCCCAGGAATAACTGCTAGGCTGTTGGGTTCCAAATCATCTAGACAAAACCAGTAAGTTTTATACTTACAATTTTCTTCACATTATTATATTATCTTTTTGGATTCTCACATGCTTTTACCATTGGTATCATTACATATTTCACAACTGGTCGGGCCATTTTTTAATTCCATATATGAATTAGAGGGTATTAAAAGAACTGCAAATTCAGATTCATAAATATACCCCAAAAGGTCAGAAATATGTCCTTTCAGGAGTTACATTTAGGATAGAAGTTCAAAAAAGGAAATAATAACTCATGCCCATTCCCATTTTTGTTATAACAAATCTATATATTTTAAAACAAATTGGATTAAAGGGCTGCATTTTAATTAACATTCCTAAACACAAAAGAGCAACTTATCAAAAATCTGAACAGATGCAACCCCAGAGGTGAAAAGGCTGCTGAGGCATGCCACAGAGCTGGGCAACCCTGAGCAGCCTGAAATTACCAAGATAAATCCTTAAGAGGGGGGCAGAGTTTTAAGATTTTAGTCAGGTTCAGTAATTTGAAAGATTTTCCTGCTGTAGTTCAGGACTGTGGGAAGTCTTAAAGTCACATGAATTTTTCAGGAAGCAAAGTAAACTGGAGATATTGCCAGAGGGAAAGCCAAACCTCCTTCCTGTGATTGACAGAGCAGGTCTTACCTCCCGGAGCTGTGGAAACAAAAGAAAAGTCATTGTTAGAATGGTGATTGCTGATAATATGGAGAGTAAAATCATCCTCGTAAGAAAATATCTTTGTCTAGGTAGTCACCAATGCTATAATACTGTCTGATCTTCTTACCCAGAAGCTGCACTCTAGTGTCAGCTAAATGCCCTAGGCTTGTTCCTGAGCCCAACCCTCCGTCTTCCACACAGAGAAATTGCCTTACCGTATTCCACACCATCCTCTGACATCCCAGGCAGTAGATTCAAGTTGTAACGATCTCGCATTTTATCTCCAGGACGGTTTCTAGTCCAAAACTTGCTGTCAAAAGGAAGTTATATCATCTCAGTACCAGGTCAAGAGTATTAACTACTTTTAATCTAATTAGTTCTTTAATTTTTGGTGTGCTATCTTGATCATATAAGGATTCAACTCTTACTAAATCAAGTTCAGTGCTAGATCTGAACGTTAGGTGTGAGGTTCAAATAAAAAATAAAACCCAACAATTTCCATATTGAGTTATATACTTGCGATTCAGAAGATACTTCAAAAAGTGTGAGGGGTAGAAGATACTTCAAAAAGTGTAAGGGGTATAAGTACAAGGCATCAACATCGAACCCTGAACAGATACATTTCTAGTCCATTCCGAAAACTTCTCGCTCAATTCAAATACACTTGTCATATATAACTGAACTTGTCAACACACACATGCAGAAGTTTACTCCATTTAGAAGATGCTGCATGTTAACAGCATGTTCAACTGAAAGGATGCAAAGCACTAACTATGTGTGTGTCTGCAACGTGAAAAGACAGACATGACCAGCAGATGATCTGTGGGGAAATAACTCTGTGGAGACAAGAACATTTCTTCAGCAAGAAACTACAACGATTCTTTTCTAAAAATTTTTTCAGGAGATTTCAAAGCTCACACACACACAAAACCCTAGTATTTTTTATAGTTTCCTTAGATGAAGAACAAGAGGTTAGACTCTACCTTTGAATCTAAAATGTCAGTGCCTTCCCATTTAGGGAAGCTTGTCTCTCTGCTTCGCCCACTGGCTGTGTATCAGAATCATCCCAATCTATTCTTTGGCCACTGATACCATGCACCTTTCTAGTTTCTAAATGTCTTTTCCTGAAATACTTGAAAATACCTGGTGTGATCATTTGAGCCCGAACAGAGAATGTGTCCAAGGGGATGCCACGCCAGACTCCAGATCATTCCCTCATGGGCCATTTCCATTCCACCAACCTCCTTCTGAACCCTGACTCAGTTAAAAAAAAAAAAAAAAAATCTGTCATCACACAGGTGAATATCTGCTAGAGACGACAAAAATTTTGCTATTCAGTTGTTCCTCTTACGCTGTCCCATATTTTACTAAACTTAAGCCTCTGTTATTTTTCTGCTGGGTGAATTGATTTTTCCCAGTTGTTCTTAATAGGGAATTCAGTCATGTAGGGATTTTTAAACTGCACATTTAGAAGCAAAATAATTAAAACATCTCAGAAGCAGCTCTGAGAAACTAGGAGCTTCAACCATTCATCACCCTCTCAACAAAAGACTACTTTCTGTGCAAGCAACTGTATCCTTTAAAATACATCTGCACAGGAAAACTCCTTCATAAGTGAAGAATGTTCACAAACAGGTAGAGAGAAAAACTATACCATGAACATGCGTGTGTTAAAAACAGATTCAAAGGTGAAAAGTATATTTTGTATTTCATATAATAACTTGCACATCTGACCAACATCTTTCCAGCGTGCTGTTGAAAATGTCACATACCCAACGTGCCAGAACAACAGCGAGCCATCAGATCCCCCACTGGCAAACAGCCCCTCATGAACAGGATGCCAGGCCACAGCTGAAATACGAAATAAGCCAGAGTCAGAAAGTATAAAACTAGTATTTCTAATTAACGTAAATGAAGATCTCAAACTTTCATTTTTAATTCAAATTTACTAATAAAAATCTACAAAAATGTAACAAATTCTGACCTGTGGCCTCCTTCTTATGACCCCTGAAGACCTGAAGTTCTTCTTTCAGATTACGAATGTCAAAGAGCTTACAGAGATGGTCACGCGAAGCTGTTAGCAGCCAGTTGCCGTTCAGGTTGAGTTTCACCTCCATCACGGTGTTTTTATGAGCATGTCTGCAAGCAGAGAAAGACGACGACTGTTTCTCCAGCTACCGATTTCTCAGCCACAAGTAAAACGTGATCATTTACCAGTCCCAAATACTCAGGTCAACAACAAAGTAGTTCAGGCCGCTAAACCAGAATACTGTGGCTTTCTGTGCAAAGGCCCTGTGCCTTAATCCTGTTCTTTTGTACTTCAGAGCAACTGGCAGTGCTCATTGAGACAGCATTCAGGTACTGTGCACATTGCTACTGCAGCATAAGAAATTTTTCATCAGCCAGAGGAAACATCTCATTTGAGTTTCCATATCTCAGGTCTGTTTTCCAAATGAGAACTGTGTGACTAGGAGGTTCTACGGAGAACGACAAAGTAAATTTAAATCAGGAATATTAAAGCCACAATTTTCCAAGTATAGACTTGACTTCATCTAACCTCTACATTTTCTGGCACAGCTAAAGAGCTAGCTTTATATTTGAAGCAATTGTGCATGGCTGAAAAGATGTAGGGCAAAAAGCTAAGAAGATAAATAAAAAAAAGGAAAAAAATATTTTATGAAGTTAGCTTATACTTGAGCAAATGAAAGACTGTGGGCAAGAACTTACAGTGTGGCAAGGCTCTGGCCAGTCTTTGGATCCCAGAACTTGATGGGCTGTTGGCTATCTTTACTTCCTGATACAACTAATCCCTTTGTTGGATGCCAGTCAACACATTTCACATCTGCTCCATGTCCTGGCAAGAAGATAAAAATTGTTTATTTTGAGATTTCACAGCCACTGAAAAGACACTGAAAAATTAAAGGGTGCATGCCTTTTAACTGTGATGTAAAACTGGATGAAAAACATCACAGAGCGCAGGTCACAAAACATAAAATCAAACTAAATGCAAACTCCGAGTTATTTAGGTTGCATTCCTCCTCACTAATCACTTGAAGCACCTTCTCCTTGGATTACGCCCTCAAACCAAGCTCGCTCCACCAACATAAAAATTCTCTAAGATGTTTCTGCTCCAACTGTACTTTTCTTTAGGCTTTGGCCCTGTACTATTGCACAATATTTTAAATGTAACACTGATGAAGAGTTTGTATGGAGGTGGTAAGGGAAAATAACAGTGACACTTCACTTTCTGTGAAATACTGTAGAAATGAAAGCCAAATACATATTTGTTCCTATCCTACCAGTACTACCCTTTTGCTGCCCTGTCAGAAAACATGCAAAGAAATTAAATTATGGATCTGAAAACCAAATTAGCATATGATGAAAAGAAATCTTATGCAATGTAATCTCTTATCAGGTCGGAGGGACTCTGTTTTTTCTAACGCTCAAGTGTCAGGAGAGAAAAACCCTTGTGATGCCATTTCATTTCAGACTGACTGACCTTGACAGAGAATCAGTGCTGCCCAGAGGATCTAAAAATCTGTCAAGAAGAAATGCCTGTTCCTTCTACACAACAAAATGAGGTTTCTGAGCTGAACTACAGGGATTTAGAGAAGAAATGACAAACGATAATTTCTTTCTCCAATCTCTGTCCATGCCAGTCCACTTCAAGGGGAAGCCGACGGTAACAGTCAATGCCAGAAAATGAGGCAGCATGCAGTAACTAAAGAAAAAAGCAAGATGAGAAAGGAAGGGCTGCCTGCAACATAAAGGCACTGAAGTTATAAAATGGCATGGAAGAATGGTAGCATGTTCTGTCAAAGACAAAGAGTTGCCAAAGTCAGACAGCTCCCACAAGTACCGCTTCGCTACATGGTGGAACACATAGCTTCAGCAGCACCAGCTGTCTTAATAAGGCCTCAATTCGACAAGACCTGAAAAATGAGTATCAGCTGAAATCTTCCTGAGGCCACAGAAAAATCAAATTCGAATAAGCAATATAATTATATCTTAAAATAAAAGCAAAACGTTAACATATAGAGAGCACTCTCTCCATCAACTGAGTGCAACTTTCCTCCTCTCCGGAGGAAAGGACAGACAGGGAAGGGATTCTTGACCCAAGCAGAAATGAATACAGCTTTGGTAAGTATATGGGGAACAACTGTAAGGCTTGACTGACGATACAGATGAAGGAACCCAAGTCTCCTCCCCCAGCCACAGCAGGCAGAATTGCCCTTGGAATCTGCGGGCTCTCAGGGAAGAGCAGGATCCTCAGACTGCAAAGACTACGAAAGTGCTCACAAGCGACCGCTCCAGGGGTCGGTCTGCCCTGCCAACAGCCCTGGGCACTTTGAGGCGAGTTGTTTCCCTTCTCTCTGGCTCTTCTGATGCAGAAAGAAATGAAAGGCACCATCTGTCTGCATTTGGTCTGACTACATATCTCTCTCTCTCTCAACTGAAACGTGAAGCTGAGCACTGAGCAAGTCCTGCTTCCGAGTGCTTATTTGGGAGAAACGATTCTGCAGGTATTAAGAGAGAAAATGCTCCCCCTCCACAGTGAAAAGCAATTCATGCTTGCAGATTTTCAGTTGATGATATTCTGTAGGTACTTGCTATCCTGCAGCCTCCCCAGGGAAAGACAGGGGATTTGAATTCAAGGGCAACAATAGGCCCTTACAGAGAAACGTTCCATTACAGTTAATAACTGCTTGAACTGTATGAAAATGTGTTCAGATTTGAATACTTGAGTACTATCATAAATATGAAAAAACCAAAGCCCAGCAAAACCATAAAAAAAATTACCCACACAGACAGGAATTACTTTGGCCTTGCTGCTTCTGGAATAAAGACGATTAGTAACAGAAGAGCGCTGAGAGACAAAGGGCTCCTCTGTTTGGTCGGTAACGCTGCATCCGGAAAGCGAGTTACGCTGGTGAGAGGCCATCTCTGGACGACAGCTCATCCCCTGCCAGGCCCAATTTTGGTTTTTCTTTGGAGATCTAACCCGAGTTAAACCAGCCCAAATATGTACCGTAGGGGAAAAAGGCTTAGAGCAAGCAATCCAGCTCACGTTCAGAGCCACGCTCCGAAACAGAGCAACCGAAGCACCCATCCTCTAAAAGACTGGAAAAGGAAGAGACAGTGACAGGGCAGCGGCGGGCTGATGGGCTCCTCAGAAGCCAGGTTTGACCACCGCTAGCCACTAGCCCCACACCACAAAGCCGAGAGGCAGTGAAAGATGCCAGGACATCAGAACTTGTAGCCAGAGCAGCTAAATCACTAGATACTGATCAGCAGGCTTTCGACCACCATCAGCACATTCAAATTGACCATAGGTATCAGAAGAAATTCATCAAATTTAAAAACATAACCATTATAAAGATACATAATGGGCATTTTCTGTCGAGAGCAATCTTTCAACCAGTGTGCACAATACAACAATAGTGGGGGAAAACCAGAACCCTCCTTTGTAATCTAATCAAAATGATCTAGCCTGCCCTCTCTTAGACAAAGGCATCTCCTTGACGAAGTCCTGCACTAAATGGGATCATCACTTATACTTAGCCACAGGTTCCCAATGCAATGAAGCTTTCTCGAGAGAAAATAAATTGTTTCCTACAACAAATATGCTGTAAATATACTATTCCCAAGGGACTAACTAACTTGGAAGACTTCTGTAAGATAACCAAGATAACTGAACAGCATCACCTAATCAAACCTTTTTTAATTTCCTTTTTTCTCTCATTTTTCTAATTGGAGCAATTGCATATTGCTTTTCCTTCTTTCTGCTGATAGAGGTATGTACTACTATCTGTAATGAGACAGATGATGCAGAAAATACATTTAAAATAAAACTCCAGAGAAAAAGGAGCCTGGCAGATTTTACTTCATAGCTGTTTTCAGTTCTTAGTTCTAGGTTAAGACCTGAGGATTGGACCCTCCTCTGGTACAGAACCCCTGTCACCAAGCACCACACTCGGAAAACCTTAATTCACGCAAATCTCTGTAGTTTACACTCCTTATCTGCTGACTCTGAACAGCTTTTACTCCGTAACTTCAACAGTCACAGAGACATCTCTGTGAGCTCGGAAAGCCCGGACGGGAATTCCTCCCTGAAGAAGGCTTGCACCTTTTCTGCCCCGAGTCCCTGTCTGTGAAAGGCACAGATGTTGCATCATTTCCCTGCCTTGTAGGGACACGCTGCGGATCAATGAATTGAAACGTGCAAATTGTTTAGAAATCCTGGCACTGGAAGGCCTGTGAACACACTGAAAGACTGAAGGTAAAGATTTTTGATAAACCGAACTTGTTTAAAATCACAAGCTAATGTCTAAGCATAAACCAATACACTAGCGCTTGTCAGTTTACTTACTACAAATTTCTATAAACTTTTAAAAACCTGCAGGAAAGAAATTAAAAACATGTGTGTGTAGATTCTTTAAAAAGTTCAGACACAGAAGTATTTATCTAATAATACTTTTCATATGCATAACAAATTTTTGACCTGACTGTAGTCACAATCCTGTTAATTAAAATACTTATTGTTAATACTTATAGCGAACTGATGTGAGGGGTTGCTCTTTAGAAGCCACTGAGCAGCAATACTGACGGGTGAAAGGAATAACAAGCTATAGTAAGATTATGTGTAATAGCGTTTGATCAATTCCAGCACGTCACAAGTCTGGAAAAGTATACATAAATTAAGAAGTGGATTTTTCCCCCTCAGTAATTTCTGCATATATGACCTAGTGAACATAATATATGGTGCAAGAACAGTTGGTTTGGTTCATTGTCTTTTTATTACGGTCTATAACATATCTATGTATTTTCTAATACAACTGTGTATAAACTATCAATTATAAATATATCAGGTTTATTGCTGTAGCTAATTTTTTTCTATTATATCCTTCCTGCTAGGAATGAGCCCCATTCTGAAGGCACATAAATTGGAAAGATAATTTTATAGATTGTATTCTAGGATTTCTAGATCCTTCTCAGCATTTTTTGGATGTATATACACACACTGAGGTGACACTCTATTAGCACATCTTCTTGTACTTTTTAACATCCACGTTCCAAAGAAAACAGGTATTTGTAGCAGTATATGTTTTAAAGAATGAACATTATCATTTAACTGCAACAATACTGTTTCTTTCTCCTTTAGAGAGAAATCTGTTTTCTTGGATTTTTTTTTTTTTTTAAAGACTCATAATTCTCTTATGCCGTTTTAAATAGGGAGTGAATAGCACTGTGTATCCTCCACTTCGTCAGACTCAAAGCCTTTTCATCACCACACAGTAATGTTCACCCTCCTGTAACACCTCCCCAGAACACCTCAGAAGAGCAGGCCCTTTGTAGAGGGATCCAAGGGATGTGCAAAGAGACATCAGGTCTTACTACCGTCCAAGCTAAGGTTCTCCACTCATGAAAGAAAAAAGTACCTACATGTCAAAGACAATGGAAAACAACCGTGTTAACAGAAATATTTTCTACTAATTCCCTTAGACTTTGTTAGTTCCTTCCAGCCTACTAGGCAAATTGGATTATTCTGCTTGTTCCATTTTTAGGGAAGGCTTTTAACACGTTTTCCGTCATGTATCCATTCCCCCAGCAATCCCCTGCTTCTATGTAAAGCCCACTTAGGAACTGAGTATCTCAAATCTGCAAGAACCTAGGTACTGTTTTGATAACACCGACTGGGTTAGCAATAAGGGTAAAAGCATATTTTAACTCCAGTAACTTAGTGTTCTTTGCCCTAGCGCATTGTGTGAACTGTACAACTCCTGAAAGCTGTCCTATGACCTCTTTCATTTCCTATTCTCCACTCCAAGAATGAACAGCTCAGAAACCCCTCGT